GGCTGATCGCTCAATGTTTTGCTGGTCATTTCATGCAAATTCATGAAAAAGAATGTGTTTTTTTTGGTGGACATTGTGCATTTCATAAAAGGTAATGTGTTTTTTTGTGAACATGGCTCATTTCATGGAAGGTCATGTGTTGTTTTTTGGTAAATATTGATAATTTCATGGAAGGCCATGTGTTTTTTTGTGAACATTGCTCATTTCATGAAAAGTCATGTGTTTTTTTGGTGAACATTGCTCATTTCATGGAGGTCATGTGTTTTTTTGGTGAACATTGCTCATTTCATGGAGGTCATGCGTTTTTTTGTTGTGAACACTGCTCATTTCATGAAAAGTCATGTGTTTTTTTGGTGAACATTGCTCATTTCATGAAAAGTAATGTGTTTTTTTTCTGAACATTGCTCATTTCATGGAGGTCATGTGTTTTTTTGGTGAACATTGCTCATTTCATGGAGGTCATGCGTTTTTTTGTTGTGAACACTGCTCATTTCATGAAAAGTCATGTGTTTTTTTGGTGAACATTGCTCATTTCATGAAAAGTAATGTGTTTTTTTTCTGAACATTGCTCATTTCATGGAAGGTCATGTGTTTTTTTTTGTGAACATTGCTCATTCCAGGGAAATTCAGGCATATTTTTGGTGAACATTGCTCACCTGATGGAAGTTCATGTTTTTTTGGTGAACATTGTTCATTTGATGTAAGGTCATGTATTTATTTTTGTGAACATTGCTCATTTCATGTAGTAAGTTCATGATTATGTTTGGTAAACATTGCTCATTTCATGTAAATCCATGTTTTATTTGGTGAACATTGCTCATTTCATGGAAAGTTATATGTTTTTTTGGTGAACATTGCTCATTTGATGTAGGGTCTGTATTTTTTTGGTGGCCAGTGCTCATTTCATGTAAGTTCATGTATTGATTTTGGTGAACATGAACATTGTTCATTGCATGTAAGTCCATGTATTTATGTTTGTGAACATTGCTCATTTCAGGGAAATTCATGTATTTGTGTGTCATTACTGTTCATTTCATGTAAGTTTTTTCTTTGGTCAACATTGCTCATATCCTGTAAGTTTATGTTCTTTTGTGGGTGAACGTTCATGTAAGTCCATGTATTTTTTTGGTGAACACTGCTCATTTCATGTAAGTTCATGAATTTTTATGAACATTGCTCATTTCATTTAAATTCATGTATTTTTGTTTGTAAAACATGTGAATTTCATGTATAGTAGTTTCCATAATTTTTCAGGTACCACCAAGGATAAACGTACAGAAACATGTGGAAAAGCCATAGGGTAAGTTTCCCATGGAGAAAATGATCGACTTTGATGGTGGGTTTTTCACATCTATGAACATGTTTATAGGAGGGCATCCATACCTGAAACCCCAGTTCCAAATATAACACATATCCAAGGGGAAACCAGCTATATCATGGGAATATATCATCTATAACAAGGTGGTGCCCCAGTGAGCTAAATCGCGAAGTTGGTGCAAATAACTCCAATTTCACTATGGTTTATGGTAGATATATCTATACCCATTAGGGGTTATAAACCAACAAACATAACTGTGGGGGGCACCACCTTAAATGATCAATAATGGCGATATTCATGGGATTTTTTCGTGGGAGAAAATCGCCTGGAAAGGGCTGAGAAGCCCATGCGGTAAGATTCGCGAACGGGGGTTCCAGGTCGAAATGCGTAGGAAAACACAAAACTGGCAGCTGTACATATGGAGGGGCCGGGTAGATTCGTAGATATACACCAAACCAGGAGATTCGGAGAGCACACATGAGGGTTTCACTCAACAATGTGACCAAGCAAAGCAATGATGATCCGCCACATTGTTAATCTAATATATGATATAATACACATATATATATATGTAATTATATGTATATAATATATATATTATATATATATATGTATGCAGCCTGGGTCATCAACCCTTACATTATTTTTGGCTACCCGGTACTTTGGGGGCATTCGAGCATATATATCCAGGATCGTTATCAAAATCAGAAATAGCGAGCATGTTCAATATCTGAGAGCGATTTGGAGCAAAAAACATGGCCGCAATTTCGGGCGCAAATAAGCGCAATCGAGCGCAAATAAGCGCAATCGGGTGCAAATTCAAAAAACCAGTCTGGCCAATAGAGCTTAAGGAACATTTTTTCAAAATATCGAGCGCGTCAATTTCTAATCGTTATGGAAATTTTGGAAGCGAACAAATCTCAAAACCAGCAAAAGAAATGTAGCAATTGAAGATCCAGGAGTAATCAGTATGTATACGTATAATTGTATAATTCTGTGCACACATATGTACCCCGATTGAGTATATTTTGTTCTGAGATTTTAAGATTGTGGGTACCCTTAAATCCATTGGTCAATCAGATGTTTCCCCAATTAAAATAGCGATGTTTTTGGATATCAAGTGGGGGTATACCCATTTTCAGACAAATACCACACGAAATAACCAAAAATCCAGCAAAGAATAGTACCTCAGACCTCCCCCACTGAGGTATACCGAAGTGTTGCACTGATCCTCGTCTTCCGCTGGGGTGAAAAAGTTGTCCTTCCAAATGCGACAGGTGTTGTCCTGAGGTGTGTCGCACAGGCTTTGAGGCTTTTTGTTGGGTCCCCTTTCACAAACACAAACGCAGAAAGTGTTTTGTTTTGTTTCTTTATTATGTGCTCCATGTATGGAATATTTACCAACATTTGCCATAAAAATCACCCAGTTATGTAGGCAAATATGCCATACATGGAGCATATGGGTTATTATGTGCTCATGTTTCCTCTAATTCACATCACTATAATATGGATTAACAAGGGAACTCAAAACCACATCCTGGATGTTGTAGATCAAAACACAATGCTAAATTTTATATCTTGGGCAAAATCAATAAAATTGTTTCATTATTTTTTTTTCAAAAACCATCACATTAACAAACAAAACGATGGAACACACCTTTAGCCCGTGGCTTTTGTCCAATGGGATCAACCAGTGTTGTGTCATCTTGTAATCTGTTACAGTTTGCGACTGAACATGGCCATTTAGCTCGTTGATTTACCTATAATTCATGGGGATGTTCCACAGCTATCTTAGCTCACCAGAGGGTACTGTTCATGGTTTTTTCTAGCAGATCAATCCAATAATTTTCTTTGCAACACCCAAATCTGCCTAAAAACTCCATCAAATTCCTAGATGATTCACTGCACCTACAAGGTGGTGCCTCAGTTCGGAATCGCTAAGTTGGTGTATAATTGCCAATAACTATGGTTTATGGTAGATATATCTATACCATTTTATACTTACTGGGGATTATAAACCAACAAACAAAACTGGAGTTATAACTTATCACTATGGTTTATGGTAGATAGATAGATAGATAGATAGGTAGGTAGATAGGTAGGTAGATAAATGATAGATAGATAGATAGATAGATAGATAGATAGATAGATAGGTAGGTAGATAGATAGATAGATAGGACAGGATAGGATAGGACAGGACACGACAGGATAGGACAGGACAGGACAGGATAGGATAGGAAAGGATAGGATAGATAGATAGATAGATTAGATAGATTAGATTAATTAGATAGATAGATAGATAGATAGATACATAGATAGATAAGATAAGATAAGATAAGATTAGATTAGATCAGATTAGATAGATAAGATAGATAAATAAGATAGATAAGATAGATAGATAAGATAGATAAGATAAGATAGATAAGATAGATACGATAGAGACGGTAGATAAGATAGATAAGATAGATAAGATAGATACGATAGATAAGACAGATAAGGCACATAAGACAGATAAGATAGACAAGATAGATAAGATAGATAAGATAGATAAGATAGATAAGATAGATAAGATAGATAAGATAGATAAGATGGATAAGATAGATAAGATATATAGATACGATAGATACAATAGATAAGATAGATACGATAGATAAGACAGATAAGGCACATAAGACAGATAAGATAGACAAGATAGATAAGATAGATAAGATAGATAAGATAGATAAGATAGATAAGATAGATAAGATGGATAAGATAGATAAGATAGATAAGATGGATAAGATGGATAAGGTAGATAAGATACATAAGAAAAAAAGATAGATTAGATAGATAGATAGATAGATAGATAGATAGATAGATAGATAGATAGATAGATAGATAGATAGATAGATAGATAGATAGATAGATAGATAGATAGATAGATTAGATTAATTAGATAGATAGATAGATAGATAGATTAGATTAATTAGATAGATAGATAGATAGATAGATCGATAGATGGATAGATAGATAGATATATAAATTGATAGATATACTTACAACTTACTACGGTTATAAACCAGCAAACGTAACTGTGGGGGCACCATCTTGTAAGCAAAATCTTTTACCTGGAAATCGATGGTTTTTGCTTTCGATGCTGCGAGTTTTGATAGTCATATAGTCATCGATGTTGTCAACTGGGCCGAGAAAGAAGCACTAGAAAAACAGCAATCTGATTAGCATTTCAATGAACTTCATATGACTTCATGATATTTCATGGGATTTCAATGATATGGGGCTTGTAGATACCTTGCGATTTGTGATGATTTATGGCACTTGTAGATACCGACAAGTGATCATTGTGCATTGAACACGACGTGTCATTCCATTGAATTCTGGCCGATTGAGAACGGAATTCCCACAAATGAATATAAATGATGCTACTCCCCAATAGTTTAATTGACTGGATACCCCGAAATGGCAATTTGTTACTTTACAAAACTCTGGAAAATCATCATGTCGAATAGAAAATCATCGAACTATATGGGCCATCATTTTCCATATCTATATGTAACAAATCACCGTTTTTTCGGCTAGGTTTTTTATCACTTCTACCGGGAGTTACAAGGTTTTGGCTCGGGCTTAGGGTTTTGGATTGGTTTAACGATCCCCTTTCCCGACTTTCGATTTTGCCATACCTTAGCGGGCTTGCTTTGCTGTGCGCTGGCTGCTCGCGGGCTTTTGGTGCCTTCGGAACGTGCTCTGCCTCTGTCCTGTGCTGACATTGGCATCACCTCTGGCTGGTCTTCGTGGTCATTCACGGGACTTTTTGCTGGACATTTTCTTCATGCGATTGGTGCTCTTCTCCGTCCTGGCTCTGGTGGTGAACTGCGGCTTCCTCTTGGACTTTGAGGCGGCGATCCAGAAGGCGGAGGGCTACGGCAAGAGCGATTTGGGGCAAGATCCGGAAAGGATTTTTGCAACCTTCCACACATCTTTTGTGGACAATACATCGGACCTTGGCCACACATCATTCCAAGGATCCCTCTTTTCTTCGAGCTATTGCAGCTCGTGCCCATTCCATTGCCAAGATGAACTCCTCAACTTGGACATGCAAGCGTTGCTATGCGGACAACAACGAGGAGGCGAATTACTGCCATCGATGCGGGGAATATTGGGAGTCCTCGTATCAGAATGGCGGTGGTGGATATCGGAAGCAAGATGGAGCGCAACAGTGGCCAACCTTGCCGAACAATGGCAATCGGAGACGCTCTCACAGAGCGAACCGAGCAGGCTATGGACATGGTGGACAAGGACAAGCACCCAAGTCTCCCAGGAGGCAGAAAGGTGGTGGAGGCAAAGGCGAGAAGAATGCCCCCAAGAGCCCCAGGAGTCATTCCAAGGGCCGAGGGAAGGGCAACAGCTCCTACAACGAGCAAAGCGGGAAGGGCAAAGGTCAGGCAGAAGAACCTCCCTGGGTGCCATTGCCGCCGCCCCCAGCCCCGCCGCCGGCACCTGTGGTCAATGCCGATCCCCAGACTGTGCAAGCCGAAGCGCAGTTGAAATCTATGGTCAAGATTATCTCCAAGGATTTGGACTCCTACCCTGTGGAACTTCAAGAAGAAGCCAAAAAGATCTTGAAACGGCAGGAGCAGTGGACCAACAAGAAACTGCACAAAACGGTGAACGAGCTTGGCAAAGCCAAGAAGGCATTGCACGAAGCATCGGTGGCTCGTCTTCAACACCATCAGGCTTGGAAGAACTATCTGATAGAGGCAGTTGCGAGATGGGAAACATTCACAAAGCAGTTTGCAGAAGAGGAGAAAGAGCTGTCGGACAAGGTGAATGCGGCCAAAGAGGCGGTGGAGGCCGCCAAGAAAGCTCATTTGGCGGCAGCCAAGGTGGAGCGAATCACCGACGACGAGGCAGTGACCATCTCCGACGACGAATTGATGGAGCCGAAGCCAGATGCGGCTCGGAACATTCAAGAGGGGATCGAGCAGATGACTCACAGCTTGCACCAGGTCAAGACCAAGGCAGACGAAATCGTGACAGCAGACGAGCAGGCCTACAAAAAGGCTCGCATCAGGGAGCCGGAAGAAGGCTTTGCTGGGCCCTCTGCGTCTACGCCGCATTTTGCGATGGCCGACAAGTGAGGACGTTTTCGTGTCCTTGTCAGAGGCCGCAAGATCCGATCATTATGAAATGGTCGCACTCAATACTTCATGATCCTGGTTTTCTCAGTGAATGGGCCGCTTCATGGAACGCCTTTTTGGACGACAGCATGTGGGATTCTGCTGATGTTCATCGGAGGGAAGTTGCCATGAATTCTACGCGGCTGAAGGTGCCACGCACTGCGAAGTCGGTGACTTTTGCATCTGAGTTTACGCTTCATTTTGGATATGAATCTTCTTTTCACTGGAGCACTACCCATCATTCTGAGGCTGCACGCCACACCTTGCCTGGGAAGCCTTGGGCATTGCGACCTGCTGGATGGATCTCAGATGATGAGGACAATGACCTGAGTGATCCGCTGTTTCCTAGTGAGGCCGCGTCGATCTCGGTTATTGAAGCTCGCACTACTGACCAACATGGACGTCCTGACGGCCTTGAAAGTGGCAATGCTGCTGATGGTGTCACGCCCATTGATATTCCACATGGCCAGGGACAAGATGGTGATCTACCTTACTTTGTCCACACCATGTTGCGCATCACTGCGGATGACGTGCTTGCTAGGGCTGAGAACCGTGAGTGGGGCTTCACGGTTCGTACCTGGTATTTGCACCACAGAAATCACAGACGTTGTGCTGTCTCCCGCAATGTTCAGCTTACTGGTCCTCCACATGGTTGGTTTGGGCTTCTTTTGGCTACATGGCAAGATTTGGTGCAGCATTTTGAAGAGGTCGATGTTACCTTTGCTCAACCGGCGCCTCCACGCACTTGGTATGAACAATATGTGGTACATGATCTCATATTGACTCAAGGAACTCAAGAAGCTAGACTTCCTTGTCTGATCACTGTTGCACCTACCGTGGCTGAAATTGGTCTTCAAATGCATGCTGTTGCACTCTCCTTTGAATATGTCATCAGTAGCTTTGATTTGTTGGAGAAAGCCAACCTACAAGAGTGGTGTGAGCAGCGCCACTTTCAAATTGTGCTCGGCCATGATGTCATTGACAATGATGAGCCCTACATTGAGGTTGAGGCTGGTGACTCATTTGTCATATATGTTGGCAAAGAGAAAAGCAGCGCATCTGATGCTCCAAACAATGGCAATGCTGCACCGTCTCATGCTGAGAATGATGCTACGGCACTTTCCGATCATGACATTGACATGGCTGAAACTTCCCAAGTTGCCGACTCATCTGATGGCTACAGCCCAAGTGTTGATGAAGGTGACCGCCATCAAGAAGATGTCCACACTGATGAAGAGGATCGTCAGCGAGTCATCATCTATCGGCTCAGCCACCTATCGACTGCAGCCTTTTTGAGATGGCGATCATTTGAGCAAATCTATTTTGACACGGCTAGGGCACTGCAGATCGATCCGGCTCAGCTTGCGACTGTCCACTTCCTTGCTGCCAAGCCTGTTGGAGAGCAGGCCAATGAGGAAAGCATCATTGCGCAGCATGTTGAAGACATCCCAGCAGGGTCTGGAGAACAATTAGTCTTGGTCGATGTCGTTTTTCATGTCCAGCCGACTCTTGACGTGACGCAGCCGGCGACCTTGCATGACCGCCGAGTCCTCAAGATTCAGCCCCTTGTTGGACGCCTTCATTTTCTGCAGTATTTCCAACTTGAGCACTATTCCAGTGCGCATGGAGATCGATGTGTCGTTCAAATCAACCATCAAGTTTGGAATTTTCAAGATGCTGGCCTACGTCACCTGGCGCATGGCACATACGTTCGTATTGAAGTTCCGCCATTGATTGGAGAAAGCAAGCACCTCCTTGAAGTGATTGCGGACATCGAGGAGTCAGTTGGCATGAGACATCGATTTGAACTCCTTTTTGGGTCTCTCTGCCCAAATGTCATCCAACAGTTTGATCATGATCTTGAAGGAATGCAGAAAACCAGCCCGGACTTTGATGCCATGGACTGCTTGTGGGCTGAATGTAAGCTGGCAGACTCTCATCGAGTGACTGGGCCGAATCTTGTTCGCAGTCGTCATGAACCTGTACAGCAAGCCAACATGCCACCTGTTACCAATGCCGGGTCTTTTGGAGAGACGCTTGAGACTTCATTTATCAATGGTGCCTGCATTGAAGTTGAAGAGGAAGGACCCGTTGGTTACTACATCACCTGGTTCGTGCATCATCAACTTCAACGCAAATGTTTGACATCACGTACTTTACGGCTGACTTCAAACCGAGCTACATGGCTCTTTGACCTGTATGATGCCTGGCGTGATGAAATGTCACCGACAGAGGCCTTTGCGGCTCACTTGGTTTGCCCTGACCCACCAAGAACCAGGCTACAGCACCATATTGGCCATATTATTCTTGAGCAGCATCTCTCGCCAGCACGAGTTGCAGTTTTGACCTCGGCCCTTTTTCAAGGTCTTCATGATGATGCTAGCATCCATGTGGCTTTGTCCATGCCATTGGAAGTCAGAGGGCAGGATGTCTTACGAGCTTTGGACGTCTTGCCATATTGCTGGCGTCGGCCCTGTTTTGTATGGTCTGGTAGGCAGAACTACAAACTGAACACTGCTAGAGCCCTACATTCAGGTCAGGGGTTATGTGTTCATGTGCAACCACGTCTCGCAGACGAACCGCCTGTGGATCACTCTGACGGTGAAGCCGATGAACATGGGACTAGCAGCATTTTCCAACCACTGCTTCCACGTGCAGACAGAGTGCCACCGCCCCGCGACCCGAACGCGTTTGTGGATGAGTTGTCGCTGAGGAGAGCTGCCTGGCGTATTGCAGTGGGACAACCTCCTGCCAGGTGCAGGATCATGACTTGGTATGTTGACCACCAGAGGCTTCCACGTAACCCAGATGGTCGAGCACTGGATCTGCCAGAGGATTTAGGTCATTGGGAACGTGCTTTGAGAGATCCGTGGCGTGACTGGATTCTTCCTGACATTGAACTTGTCATTGTGGTGGTTAATCCACAGCCACTAGGAGGTGACCAAGATGTGTGTGCACATGTCATTCTTTCACAACAAGAGCCTATCGGAGATGCATCGGTATTAGTTACCTTTGCAGGGCCGTTTGATGATCAATGGCACCCTCACCATGTTGCAGCAGCCGTGCCTGGAGTTGTGGATCATTGGCTTTTGACCACAGTAGCTGGTCTTCTTCCAGATTGCCCTCCTTTCCAACCAGGTAATATATGCCGCTCCTGGCATGGCGACATCGACTTGACACCGGGACAACTTCAACCAGCACAGACCGGCTTTGGCTTCCTTGTGCTTGCCTCGCGTCCTTTGACTCTGGCGACAGGTCTGTATGATTTGCACGATTGGCAAACTAGAGCGTCTGGGGCGATTGGAGGGCTGCAGGAGGCAATCACAACTGCTATCCGTGACCACCACACTATCATGTGTGACTTTGAAGCGTCCAATGCAGCTATTAGCAGTAGTGCTGTGCCCCCTTCAGCCAGGCAGAGCATTGATTTTGCGTCGGTGATCACGGCATTTGAGATTTTCATTGATGCGCACTTTCTCCTGCCTAAGTTTGACTTTGCCTTGAGTGACACCTGTCACCCAGTCTCCCCTTGGCTAGCAAAATGGTGGTCTGCAGAGATGGGTGGCCAGGAGTTGTGGATTTATTATGACGGGTCCTTCACTCCTGGAGATGAACAGACGCATCAAGATGCCTCAGCTGGTGCCGCAGTTGCAGCCTTTGTGAAAGTTTCAGAGGACTGGTACTTTGCTGGCGCGCTCAGTGCCCATTTGCCCAAGGGAGACTCCTATGTGGCGGAACTCAGCAGTGCTGCAGTCGCGCTCAAATTGACGCATGACCTGCTGAAGCTCTTTTTGGTGTGGAACCATGAAATGCCCATTGTCCATCATTGCTTTGATTCGCAGACTGTTGGGCGTCAAGCGGCAGGAGATTGGCAATTTAATTCAGAACCCACCAAAGGCAGTCTAGTCAGGAGCTTGCATCAACTGGTTGAATGCCGATTTGGGCTGAAGATACACAGCTGGCACATCCGAGGCCATTGTGGAGATCCTGGCAATGAGTTTGTTGACACGCTTGCACGAGAAGGTTCAGAAGGATCTGCTTGGGGCACTTTTGTTCCCTGGCTTGAGTCCGTCATGATGCCTGACTTTGTAGCGCTGGCTGAGTGGTTTTGGATACTGTTTGATTGGAACTATGCCCAATACTGGACGGGCCATCGACTTGCTTTGCCTTTGCCTGCTTCGCAACCATGTGATGCGGTCCTCGCTCATTTGCGAACTGAAGATGCCAGTCAGCGAGATGTTGAGACAGCAGATGTTCAAGTCCATATTCTTTCATGCAATGTCCTATCGCTGAAGAGTTCGCCAGGGTCAGTTGAGCAAGCTGCAGGGATTGAGGGCCCAGCACGTCAAGCTGCTTTGCTTCGGCAATTACATGATTTGCGGTGTGTGCTATTTGGCTTCCAAGAGACCCGCTTGAAGAAACTGCATGCGGCAGTTGATGAACGCTATTTGCTCTACAAGAGTGCAGCCAACTCCTCTGGCCAAGGAGGCATCATGGCAGGCCTCTCCAAGGTATTACCGTATGGAAAAATCAATTGCGGGAAGCAGAAGGGCCGCAAGCTTTACTTTCAGGATGACCATGTTGGGCTTGTCTTTGGAGATCATCGGACTTTGATACTGCGGATCAAAGCCCCATTCCTCAAGTGCCTGTTGGTCGTTGCCCACGCTCCACATTCAGGTCAACCTCTTGACACTGTTGAAGCATGGTGGCGTGAGTTATGGCAGCGGGTACCTGCTTGCTACCATACATGGCCTCATATCTTAGCAGCAGATGCCAATACTCTTGTGGGGCATGACATTGATTTGCATGTAGGAGGACATCAGGCGGGGAGCTTTGAAGAGCGCTCAGAAGCTTTCCATGATTACCTTCGTCAGGCCCAAATTTTCCTCCCTGCGACCTTTGAGCATTTCCATGAGGGCCCTGGAGAGACTTGGACCCACTCTGGTGGACGGCAACGCCGC